GCTTTTCCTTCAGATCGCGTCTGGAAATCACAGCACGATATTTATACGCGTTATACGCGCCTTTTTTCTGCGTCTCCACTGTTGTACTATTGTTTCTGGATTCACTGCGAGATGCCTCGGAATTATTGATAAAAGGGTTCATCGAGCAATTATATTTTAAATTTCTTTCGGGAATTTTTCTAAAGCGGGAAAAAAGAAAATTTTCTTCTTTCTTTTTGTTAATTTCGTAATTTCGAATAAATTTTTAACTTGACGAATTAACTGAAGTCTTGCAACAAAGTTAATTCTCACAATGCTCAATTTTACTTAGCGAGCAAATAAAAGATTTTTGCACTGCATTATCGATAATAAAAGCAAGCTTCGAGCTTTCGACTTTAAATCATTGGCTTCAGTTGTTTTAATTCCGTGTACACCTAAGTAGCGTGAATGTTCAAAATTAATAGAAAATAGATAATTTATAATTCATCTTTATATAATTGTAGAATCTTACTACACTAAAAATACGTTATGCTACTTTTGAATATAAAATATTATTGCGTCTAAAAAAAAAAAAAACAAATTGACTTTCCATTGCTATCTTTCCAAAACTTGTACCAGTCGTTCCTCCTTGTCTGTACAAGAATAAGATACAAAAGAAAATTTCAAGAGAAACACGCCTAAGCGTGACAAAATAAACATCCGGGAGAAACATCGCAGAACGACGGTGCGGAATGGTACTCACAGGTATGTCTGAAAGCGTTTTAGAATCGGATTCCGCTCGGTCTATATCCGAATCGATTCCTAAAACACGCGTTTGCTTCGTGACGCCGGGAACTTTCAAGTCGAAGCGTCCTCGCCACTACGGCACGTAACGAATTTCGATATCCCGATGGCTGGTGCACAAAGAGAGAAAGGGGTTGGAAAGGCGGCGCACCGGTTTAACTGAGAGCCGAGAGGGCATTTGGAGGAGAAAGGACGGCCGGTCATGGTATTGACTCGCTTTTGCGGATGCAGGGGCGGAGTTTTCGACCTCTCTCCCTTCTTCCACCTTTCCGATCTCTCTCTCGCTCTCTTGTCTCTCTCTCTCTCTCTC